GAAAGGCATTCAATAGTAGCAAAATATGCATACATATGCACGTATTTGCATACTTTTTCTCTTCAACTAGATTCCAATGTTTTTAAAATAACTTTGTACACAGTACGGCATCCGAGCATCCAATGCAGGAAATTATATAACAAATACTTCAAATACTTTAAGAGGAAGTAGAAGTGATCTTTCCACGTATATATCATCAAACACCCACTACACATGAACTCCTATTATGGTAAGTATAATTTAATAAGTTTGCGCACTCAGCCAGTGCTTATAATAAATAAGTTTCACTTTTTCAGGTCATCAACACAATCGGTTGTATTTTCAGATTTTGAAGTAATCACTGGAACCCCATTTTAATCAATGCACACATTGCGCAAGGTGCATGTTCACGTTTAGTGTGATTTGCGGGCCACAGGCTTTAGTACTAGTACATCTAAGGCAGATAATAATTTGAATGGTGATCTTATTAATGCTTCCATGTACGCAGTGCTATGTCAAACATGCAGCTATGAATATGAAGAGTTTGTTTCTTTCAAATCGGCTAGTAAACCAGAAATAGCCAAGGCATTTACTTATGTCGAAGGCTGTTATGATTTATATTACACCTTGCAGCCTGGAAATCTTTGTTTGAGTGCAGAATCTTTGAAGAAAAAAAACAGAAAGGGGCGCGCCTAACAAACAAATCACCACATATGTATGTATAAGAGCAAGTACCAAATTTCACACTGTTCTACTAATTGCTGGGTTCCCACAATCCCACTGGCGCTTCAGGTGTAATATAAGCTATGGTTTTGAGCTTTGGCTTTGTATGCTTGCAGTCAAAGTGGCCGTCAATTTCCGGTAAAATTAACCGAACCGCTGATTGCCATTTTATATATTGGAGAAGATATAAAACACATGGAAGAGCTTCACAAAGCTATACACGTTAAAGCAGTGATCGAAGGTATGTATAAATATGTAGAATCCAAAAAAAAAAACTTTAATTTAAACTATTTTAACTTTTTTATGCTAATAGCTCCTGCAAATGAACAACATCGAATTGGGCTACAAAGGCATGGACATCAATTAGGCGGTTTGCCTACACCTTTCTGCGTATGTGTTTGTGCAATAATTGAGCCGTTCAGTGCACACATCGATTAACTCCACTTTTTGAAAAATCTTAGTACATAATATTTATAACATTATTTATTTGATTTTATTATATGAATGGAATTTTAAGAAATAATGTACATTATTTGATCGCACCTCCCAACTTTTTTTTGGTGGAGTTTATCAATTTGTGCACTGAACGACTCAATTATAGAATGTCATGCGTTCCCATGTAAATTAATTATTAAGGAATATTGCGAACCATTGCAATAGTTAAGATATCGTTATAATAAACGATTGTAGGATATACATATATTTATATTTAAGTTTATTTTTAGGTAAAAGTATTTTAATGTTTTAATGTTAATTTTTCAAATATTCTAGATAAAAATTTTAAAAGTTCGATTATGTTTTTAGTGCTAAATATTTGACCATAGCTGTAATTTCGGCAACAAAATTAAAAATGTTTCTTTTTGTAAAGACCATTTTCATCTCTTTGTTAAAAATTTGGCGGCCCTGAAAAGGGCCTATTTTTGGAAGATGTTGAGGAGTTCTGCCGATTGTAATGCAAACGTGGGCCTTTTTTGGTAACATCTAGTGGATTATCTCGATAGGACCAAACTCTTGAAAATGAAACGTATGTATGGCAGCTGAAATAATAAAACTTAGTGATACAAATTCAATAAATTTTATATGAATTCGCTAAAATGTATCAGTGTTTTAGGTATCACAATTAATTTCAAAAAAAATAAACTATACTTACTTGTAAATGTATGCTATTTTCTAAGTCTAGGTCAGTATTTTTTTAAATTTTCTTTTTCTATTGTGGGCATTTTCAATAAGTTCCTTATTTAGTTTTCTTATTTTAAAGAACATTCTTGCCCTGAAAAATAATTTTTTCACTTTAATGTCGCAATGAATATTGGAAGCTTGCTCAATGTGTTTTTTTACAAAATCGTTTGTAATGAGCAAGCTATCTTCATTCACTGCTTTAAATACTGACTCTAGATCACGCATTACATCCATCATACTACTGCTGGGGATAGATAAACCCCCCTCACTTAAGTGAGTTGCCCAGGAGTATGACGGATCTTCCCTACTTCTGATTGAGGTGCTAGGTATGTCGTCTCGCAATTTGTGGCATATATACCCAGCTAAGTGCTCCAAACCATCGTACTCCAAATCTTCGAATTCAAGCTGCTCCACCGGCCATAGCTCCGAAGCAACTTTCAAATTTTTCAATATTATACCTTCGAATACATTGGCATGCATTTTAAGTATAGTTGCGTGATTTGTTGGGTATATACATAACTATCTATTTTAAATGTATTTTAAATACTTACCTGAAAGAGGCGCCAGTGTTATTTCTAAATCAGGTGTATCATCTACCTCGACATTGGCAGAATGCGATAGGACACCTTCATTATGCACAAGTAAATACAACCTGAGGCGGTATTTAAATTCTTGCTGATCCGGGTGATCATGCAGCCCACCTTTTGACCGGATCACTCCAAAAAAATTTTCAAGCACATCCTGGTTGAGACGGTAAGTTAAAATATATTTCCCATTGAATCGGGTTTTTATAGCTTCAAACAACATTTTCAGTGCTCTATTCGTCTGAATGATTCCTTAAAGTAAATTAAGCAAAAGTCGTTGAACATAAACTCTTATCAACAAATATGGAATACATATTATATTATTATATATATATAGTATTTGGTCCTATTCCTCAAGAGCTAGGCCGTAAGCATGACATCGCTTTCTCGAATCAGCGTGTGACACCCTGACGCACATAGGGGGTATTAGCCGATTTATGCGGCCAAAATTATTTTTATGAATATTTCAACTCGAAATGTTTAGAAAAGACGTGTTATGACATATATAATTTTCAAGTAGGTTAAAACACTAACAGAGTTGCCACCTGTTAAAAAATTGTGTTCAATTTGTTATATGAATTGCTGCAATATGGGTATCAATGAAAATGGGTTTGAAGAGGCTTTATCTCTAAGGAACCTTCCAGGGTTTAAAAAATCAAATTCAACTTTAATTGAAGGAATTAAATAATTCAAATATGAATCACAGGATAGGTGAGAAATGGGTGTATTCGAGGTGCAATTAATGCGGCAGTGTTACTCTTTTATGATAGAGTATCACGTTCTACGCGAAATCTTGGACGAATAAAATTTTGACAATCAGTTACTCATCATTGGCAAATC